GAGGGAGGGAGGGAGGGAGGGAGGGAGGGAGGAAGGAAGGAAGGAAGGAAGGAAGGAGGGGGAAAGAGGGGGGAGGAGGAAAGCAATCAGCCACACAGCATTATTGTTTCAAGGTGTAGATACTAGTTGGTGACTCTCTTAGACTATATTCGCACATTTAATTCACTAGGTCAGGTCAACTCTGAGAAACTGCATTTGCACAATTTGTTCAAACGTTGGAAAGGAGTGTGTTTTTGTGTTTTCTTTTGTTCTGTTTTGAGATTGCCTTGCAGAAACCCAGTGTGGTGGATTAGCTTTATGGTTCAGTGCTTTGCAGAAACCCAGGAAAAGGCCTATTTCAGTATGCAGGTCAACAGCTTGTGTGAATGCTGCTGAGAATGTATTTTATTTATTTGTCCATCGTCCTTTCATCCTGTACCCAAAGACAAGAAAAGTCAGTGGGGGAAGCCGGATTCACTTAATGACCACGGCAAAAAGGTGGTAAAATTGTGGATGACTCACTTAATGACTGCACTGCTTAGCGATGGAAGTTCCAGTCCCAATTGTGGTCATAAGTCAAGGACTCCCTGTATACAAAGCTTTATCAGGAAGGGAAGAAGCATCTTGAATGATCTGACCGTCTGATTCAGAAACATCTGGCAGTTCTATAAACTCTGAATTTATAGAGTGTAAGTAGGAATGTCCTTGGTGTTGAACAAATGCCTTAATGAAAAAGAATAGAGAAAGCAACCGTAGACCAACATGGGTTTGTCTCTACACTGAGTTTTTTAGTCTGGGATCTTGCTCAGACCCGTGTGGAGAAACTGGGGGTCGGACCTGGGGATTTAGAGCACGCAGAACATTTACTCAGAGGCCCAGCTACGGCTTTCTGGCTGACCTTTCCAAACCATCTTCAAGGGCTGCCCCAGAGAAGGCCCGCTGCAGTAGTCCAGCAAGGACATTTCCCAGGCTGAAAAGTCCACGGGTGAGCATTTAAGCATCCATTTCCTGTGTGGCACCCTAGACTCCTTCTGCAATAGTATCGATAATAGCATTAGAAGTCTGGAAGCTGGAGGAACCAAGGCGTAGGATTCCTCTCCTCCTATCATCGGCCCGCTCTCAGAACCAGCCACCAACCGGGTTTGCCTGGCTGTTGCACTTCTCGGTTCAGATGTCCAAGGTGGCGGCGACGGGCTGTCGCCACTGCCGCCCCTTGCTATTTTGGTCCTGCAATCTGATCTCTTGCCGGCGTCTATTTTAGCACCTTGGACAACTCCCAGTATAGAAAATTCCAGGAGTTGAACATCCCCAACCGGCCCTTTCAGGCAGGGCTGCACGGCGCCCTGAAACCCAGTGGGCTGCTTGAGGGGGTCGCGAGAAACAGAGTTCCTGCTGCCTGAGCCCATGTTCAGGATCAGAGCAGAAATCTCCAGGGTGTCCTACGATATTTAAAAAAAAAAAAAACAGCGCTTGGGAGAATAAACAATTTCAACGGCCGTTAATAGGGGCTTAATACGTTTTCTGACACAGATCACAGCAGGCCCCAGTCTACCCTGCCCCTAGGAATGGACGTAAAAACGGGGTTCCCTCCAGGGTACGTGGTACGTAGCAATTCTTTTGCACGGTGGTCTTCTTATTCCTCGCTTTAATCTTTCCGCGGCATGAGAGCGGAACGTGGCTTCGAGGTCTTTCCAGCCAAAACGGCCTGGACAGTAGGGTACAATAAATAAATAACTAAACAAATAAATAAAGTATGTCTCTAGGGTGGAACATGGGGCAGGTACACAGTGGTGTAAACGCTCCAAAAAAATACATAGAAAGAGCAGATGAAAGATGATTGAGGGTAGAGGAAACAGAGCTCTGGGCTTCTCTATGCTAACCAGGTCAACCCGGTTTGCATGACATTCCCAAAATCAAAATGGCACGGGGCTGGCATTGGTGCCCTCCCTGTGGAACATCATCCCTGCAGAGATCAGACTGGCCCCCACCTTGATGCTCTTCCGCAAGGCCCTGAAGGCGCGGTTGTGCCGGTGGGCCTGGGGATCCAGGTCGACCAGGAGCCCATCAAATGGCTGGGGTTGTCGCCAGGGGGGTGGAGCGGGTTTTGAATTGGGATTTTTATTCTTGAAAGATGCCCGGAGTCCCCGTGAGCGAGTCGGGCGGCCATATGAATTGCTTAAATAAGTAAATAAATTGCCCTGCCACCCTCCATGGGGAGCAAGGGGCTGGAAAGGAAAAACTGGCCTATGCTTTTCCTGCGTTCAGCTGTGTGCGGGATGGACACACACCCCACCGCCCGCTGCATCTGGGTGGGCGGAGGGTTTGAAGAAAACCAGGCTGGCTCTGGGCTGATAGAGGCAGACTTGTTGCTGTGATCAAGGGTCTGGGATGACCCCACAGACCAGCTTCTGTGCTCCACACCTGAGATCCAGAAGACCTTAAGTGCCATTCTAGGTCACTCTATATCCTTTAAAAAAACTATTTTCCCATGAGGTTTGGCTAGCCCTCCCTTCGAAACCCACAACAGGCATGGAAATAAATGGCCCAAGGTCGTGGAGCCAGTCCTCGGGCATTAGGACCCAGCCTTCTCTTAATCCCGCGCCAAGCACGACTCAGCAGGGCAGGCCTATTTCAGTATGCAGGTCAACAGCTTGTGTGAATGC